TTTATCTAGGTATATTAGCCACTTGATTGAATCTGATTTGCAAAACAAATGTTAGGTTTGGGAGTCGATTACACATGAAAGAAGTTGTAACACCTCTAAAACGCCTATTTAAGGGATGGTACCAGATTGATTTCAAATTATCCAAGCCTTGCTCATTTTTACCAAATAAGTTATGAATTTTATCAGAACAGTAAACCCTTTTAAAAATTTTATTTATTTATTTATTTATTATTTTGGGAACATTATTTTCAAGAATTTTTTTTTGAAAAATTTCCTCTCTCTTTTCTTTTTTTTTTGAAATATATTTTTTTAAAAAGGATATCAGTGGTATAAATAATATTCTTGGTTTTTTTTTAGAAAATAATATAAAAAGAAAAAAAATAGGTTAGAAATAAAATAAAATAAAATAAAATAAAATAAAATAGAAAAAAGGAAAACCTGCGATCGGGTCGAGTTAGGATGAGGGTAGGCGCACGAGTTTTCGGGTCAACACGTAGATCTTGGCTTACTAAAATGATGTCATGTTGAGGTAGTATATAAGGCACTTTCCAACATTTTGCTTCAAAATTCCTTCTACCCTCTCTCTCTCTAGACCGAAAAGCTTTGCCTTCTCTCTAAAATTCTTTAAAACACCTGTCGAAAACTTTAATCAAAAACTGAGAATTCCATCGATTTCTGGAAAAGTCACCAAAAATTCAACCAAAAACTGAGAACTCATCAATTTCTAGAAAATCAACAGAAACTCCACCAAAAAATTCAAAGCCTGCCAAAAAATTCAACCGAAAAATTTATCTTTCATTAGAAAATTTATCCCAAACCCAAAAAAACTCAGAAAACGCAGATTTCTTCAAATTTTCCCCAGATCTCTCCAATTTTAGTCCTAATCACTCCTATAACCTCCCAGAAACTCCTTGAATCTTAATCCTAGCCCAGAAACTTAAAAATCAAGCCTACAAACTCATATTGAAATCCAAAACCCCAAATCAAATTGCCAAAACCCCTTTTTGCCAAAAATCCCCCAAAATTTTCACTAATTCTTTTTTCATTTCTTCTCTGTGTGTTCTTTGTTCTGTATAATAGGTTTAATTTATAGGCAACCTAAGATCAATTCAGGAAATGGACAAAATCAATCCCAGGCTTGATTCCTGGGATTGTATTCTATCCAAACGAGATTTTAGGTCTAAAATTTCAAAAGTATTAATTTGATTATATATTGATCCAAAAATATTATAATCCTGATCTTCATTCACGTACAGATTGAGCAGAAAAAGAAACAGAAGAAAAGAAAAAAAATAAAATAAAAATAACATTAATAATAGTAATAATAATAATAATAATAATATAATAATAATAATAATAAATCTAATTGGACCAAATGGGCCATAATTGACCTAGTTGGGCCCGAACAAAATGGGCCTAATTGGGCCCAGACTAAAATGGGTATCTACAATCATCATAAGATGAAAGTGGTGATGCCATTCTTGATTTATTGGAATTTTAAACAACAAATAGAAAGCAAGAGAATAAAGCAAAACCTGAAGAATTGTTTAATTGATTTCCAGCACAATAAAGGTTTTAGTTTTCATATGGGGTTGGCAAGTTGGTTAATTGAGATATTGCCAACCAATTATATCCTCAATTTCATACATAATTATTCTTTAAAACACTAGTTGTCAAACAGATTTGTCTATCCATTGACTAGTTGTGCAAAATCTTAAGTTTCTATCATTGCCATTTTTGTCTATAATGGAATAGGGAAGGATTACTCTTAAATTCAAGATTCAATGAGTTAAGACCCATACTTAATATTTAAATTTCTTGAGTTTAAATTATTCTAGAATTACAAAAAGTTGGATTTTACACTATTTGTCAACTATCATATACAGTATTTTTTAGGAAATTATAATAAATTATACGATACCCTTTTTTCTTGTTTATTAATGTATCTTTATCATTTATATATTTTTTTCACAAAAGAAATTGTAGTCTGGACATATAAAAAAGGATTGTAGGTGTCAAGATTTAAATTTCAAACCTATTAGATGATTATCATTTCTTAAAGATGATTGTGTCACGAGCCGTGCATGAGTCCTAAACCAGAGGGTTGCATGAAAGGACTTGCTCGATATGGTATGGGTGAAGCACTAATCAAGGCCATAAAGGCATTTATTTTACCCAAGTGTGCGGGCCAAAGTGTAGCAATATGCTCGAGGTGAGCTGCACAATACCAAGTATGAGGACTGCTCATTGGAAGGTTCTAGAACACCCTAGGATGTGGTGTGGCAGTCAGGCATGGAAGGGCCTAGAATCACCTGGAGACAGGCCAAGCAAACGAGCACAGAAGGATCTAGAGAGGCCTAGAGGCAGGTTAGGTGTATTAGCATCGAAGGTTCCAAAAGGCTAGGCATGGCCACTGTAGCACCCAAACGAGGGAAGCTTCTAGACAACCTTAGAAGAGTGGTGCAAGCATGGAACCTTCTAAAAGGGGCCAACGAGCATGGAACCCTCTGGAAGGGCTAGATACACAAATGGGTAGAAGTATTATAGCACCTAGACAGTGAAGCTTTTTAAAGGCCCTAGGTGTGGGCACTCAGTAGAAGTACTCGGACCCTTTTAGACCTAGGGGCTCAGCAGGGTGCTCGAAACCAACAAGTCTCTAGAAAGGCCTTAACCAACCTTGTTGGGGCCAAGGCACCCTAGAACCCTCTAAAAAGCCCTTAATGGCCATACACTTAGAACCATTAAAGCCATAGGTACCAAGGGGCTCAAGTATAAATAAGAAAGCCACCCCCTCATTTGTATACAGATACAAAGATATATAGATACTCCCATAAAGAGAGATAGGTGACAACAAGAGCAAATGTACATACATCAAGTAAATATGTTACTCTTGCCTTAATCCTTCCTTATCTAGCTTTCACTCCAAGAAGGTTGAGTTCTAGCACACATGCATGGCACAGTCAGTAGTACATGGAACAAAGTTGGTTAAAGGATTACTTAGGCATATGAATGGTAGTTTCTCGCGTAAGGGCACATAGTAGCTAGGCTTAAACTCTTGGCACGTGATAATTGCATGAACTAATTGAGTTAAACTCTAGATTTATTTATATACATTTTATATTTATGAATTTTGACACTTAAAATGAAAAGTAATACAAGAATAACAAGAATCTCAATAAGATAGCTACTAGTTCATTTTTAATTGTATTAACAAATTAAAATATTAAAATCAAAAGATATAATATAATACGAGAATAATAAGAATCTTATAAAACAGACAAAAACCTTGAAATCTTATTCTTAAGGAAGAAACTTCAAATTTACTACAAAATATTATGGACATAAAAGATAAGGAAACCAAAAAAATCTTGATTTTTCATATATGACTCTCACGGATCAGTTAACCATTGTTTGACTACACATAAATAACAATAGAGAAAGCATCAATTTGACAAAGAGAGCATGAAAGGTTAATCTTCAACCATTCTTCAACACAAAGCTTATGAAAAACATGGTCACACTTGACAAGAACCCTACCAACCTCTTTTTCTCTGAAACTTTCCAAGCAAATAGCACAATCATCACCAGGAGCAGAATTGATCAGTGTTTTTGGTCTTGGATTAATTGGCAACATGGTTTTGCATATAGCTGGAAGAACTTGAATTTGATGAATAATAGTATCGCTTGTTTTCCCCTGATTCAATATTATCAATATCTTGGTTTTAACTTTTAAGGAACAAACCCAACATGGTTGAAAAAAATCTAGAAGAATGCAAGATACCAATACCATATAATGTTTCAAATAAATCAAGTGGCAATATCTTTGTTCTTTTTCTATGTTTTTGGAACATGGGTTAATTTCATTATAGAAATCTATTTCTTTTTATAAAAATAGATTTTTGTTTTTGGTTTAATAGGAAAATTGGAAAAGTAAACTAACTGGTTTTATGGGATTTGAAACACAAGTTCAAAGGGTTTTTTAGGACTTACCAATGATCTTAAATTTTTATTTTTTTTTACAAAAAAGGTTTCAATATAAATTAAAAAAAATTATAAGTGTTTAAATTTGAATTTTAAACTTATCGAATCACAATTTTTAATAATATTAGCTACATTAACTAAGTCAAGTTAAGTTTTTAATTTTATATTTTTACTAAATTAATAATTTTGACATCACTTGCATATTAAGAAATATTAAATAAGAAAATTGTAGATTGGAGCTTTGATTCATGCATTCCTCTTTTAACTTTTCTTTTAAATTGTATAGAGTTATTGATATATTATACAGCTAATTAGTTATGTTCTGTGTTGATTAGTAATATTGGAGAAAGTACCATCAATTTTCTTTAAAAATTCTTTTGATTTTTTTTCTCTCAAAATTCTTTGATTTTCAGAAGGAATCCATATTATTTATCTTTTATGAAATTAATAATATAAAAAATTATATTTACAATTAAATATTATAAAGTATATAAAAATAATAAATTTAAATCAAATGAACAAATTAATCAACGAATTAAACAAACAAAACTCCATGTATTTGTATAATTTTTTTGAAGTATTAGATATACATGATTTTTATATTTATAAAGAAAAATAGAGAAGTGAGAAGATTGAGTTTAATGATTTCAAGATTAAATACATTTGATGAACAAAAAATTAATATTTGCTTATTGAAAATTTTACTAATAATAAAATGATTCTACAATAAATTTATTTTAAAATTGAAAATACATAGAAAATAAGTGTCAAAATTCATAACTAAGTCAAAAAATTGAAAATTTTATATAAGTTATTTTAACCAACAAAAATAATAATAAAAAATACATCTTTGAAAATTGAAATTAGTAATCCTTTTTTTAAAAGAAAAGAAAAAACAATTATTAAACAAAAAGAATCACGGTGGCCACAATTAAGAAAAAAAAAAAAACAAAGATTAGATAAATCTTACGTCGTTTAAATATTAAACCCCTATTTTGCGCCCCCCCCCCCCAAAAAAAAAAAAACGTTAAACCCCTCAAATCTACCCGCCCATTCCCAAGACTAATAAACCCTAATTTCCCCGACCGCCATTCCCCGAAACTCTAACCTTTACATGGAACTTCTTTCAATGGAGCCCCAAATCCCCCCCAATTCGCAACCCATTCTATACGAAACCCTAACGGTAACTCCAATTTCCCTCCCTTCTTCCCCTGCCTCCGAATCTACGGCGTCCGATCAACCTCCTCTTGAGCCGTATTCTGTCTTCCGTAACGAAATCTCTTTATCAGCCGAAAATCCCATCTCCGTGGACTCCGCTGCGCCGGATTATTTCTCTCTTGATATTAACGAGCCGGCTGAGCCGGTGCCAGTTCAGGTTCCGGTCTCGGCTTGGGATGAAACGGAGCCGAAGACGCCCGGTATTGTGGATGAGCCGAAGCTTGAGAACAAGTGGTGGTTTCGTGGAAATAGTAGGTTTAAAAGTCCAATGCTTCAGTTGCATAAAGGTTTGGTAACGATATAAGCTTTTTTTTTTATGGAGGAATTTTTTATTAATTTTAGCTGAGTTTTGGTTATTTTATGGAAAATTAAACTTTTTAATGATTAATTTAGTTTTTGTTTATTTTGCGGAAATTTAGAGTTTTTTCTTTCAGGATTAGAATTTGATAAGTGGTGATTAAACTTAGTTGAATTCGGGGTTTTTATCCTGTTACAAAATATTGAGTCAGCTTTATTGCTATCAAATTATTTCAATTGCCTTTAAATTCAATGCTATATCGGTTATTTTAGTAATGAATATATCTGGGATTGAAATTTTAAGTTTTTCAATTGAGATATCCTTTGGTAAATTTTGTATCTTTACCTTGTTTGTGTGCTAGTGCTTGATAATTCAATTTGACCTTTTGCGTCTGCTCCTTACACTGACTTGTGTGATTTTATGGCACACTAGTTCTTATGCATGTGATTGTCTATAAACACAATGGAGGGTTGCATGTGTAATTGTTGTTATGTTGCATGAATTGATGAGTGAAGAGTAATAGATTGTTGGTCCGCACATGTACTAGGATTGATGGAAGTAACACCTGGAGTCCATGGATGGGCATATGAACCGTCAAGTACTTTCGTTTTAGATTTCTGTTAGTATAATCTTGTAAAATTTGAAGCACGATTAAAATATATATATATATATATTCTAGCTTTCTTTTATGAAATTATTTATGTTTGTATTACCTACGGTGCTTGTTGTTGGGAGATGGTGATAAACATTCTTGAATGCCATTTTTAAGGGTGTGTATATCGCAACAGATTTTAAACTTTAGCATTGATGTTGGGTATTGCAGAGATAGTGGACTTCTGTGGTTTTCTATCCCCAACTCCGGAAGAGCAAGCAGCACGTGATGCAGCTGTGGGTTCTGTTTTTGATGTGATCAAATACATATGGCCTGCCTGCCAGGTATGATTAGCAACCTCTCTTTCTCACATGCTGAAAAGCACATACATGTAAACATGCACACATATTTTACAAGGCCAAAAGGTAACAACTTGTTTCTTTGCAGCCAGAAGTTTTTGGGTCTTTCAGGACAGGACTTTATTTACCAACAAGTGATATCGATGTGAGTATTATGCTTCCTATTATCCCATAAAATTTATATCTGGCAACTCTAATTCTGTCAATGGTCTAATCCTGTTATATTATAGCATGCAGTAACACATTTGATGGTTTTTCATTAGTATAATTTAATATAGGATATTGATTTTCTACCATGAAGAGAAAAAGAATAGGAAGCTGAATACTGACCAAAAGGTTTTTGAAAATATAAAAAAGAATATAGCAAGACTGCTATTATATATTCTCCCCTGCACTGTATGATTGATTTTTGTAGTTATTTGTTTATACTGTGTATAGGTTGTGATTCTAGGGTCAGGTATAAAAAATCCGCAGACTGGTTTGCATGCTCTTTCTAGGGCATTATCTCAAAGGGGAATTGCAAAAAAGATGCAGGTACTTTCTTTGTTTAGAAAGTTTATTGATACAAAAAGAGTATATTTACCTAACAATTCAATTCTTATCAGGTGATTGCAAAAGCTCGCGTACCAATAGTTAAATTTGTGGAAAAGAAAAGTGGTGTTGCATTTGATATAAGGTAGTTTTGTTTTCCTCTTGCATTGCTTTTGGATTGATTGGAATTTCAAAATTGGTCCATATTCTACTTTCTTGGCAACTTTGCTGTCTGTTAATCTGTAATGTTTGTTATACACTTATAATTATGTTTGTTGGAAACCTACTTTGTTTATAATATATATTTGTTTGAAACTAATTTTGTTTACTTGTCCACATATTTTAGCGCTAAATCCCATCTTCAATATTTTCTTTTTGCCTCCGAACATGCTGAATTTGTTTTTGTATCTGTTAATTTTAGTATGAAAATCATCATATAAAACACTGAAGCAAATATGAAACTTTAGCGGAAAGGCTTTTTTGGAAGTTGTAGAGATGGAACTTTTAAGTTATCCTCATGGGATTTCCTTTGAGGTCCATGAAATTAGGGAAGTCAAAGTTTTTGGATATGACATAGTGGAACTAATCAACATTTCAAATTAGTATTTGGTTATTAATAATCTGTGAGGTAAAATAATTTGCCAAACAGAAATATTTTTATTTGATGAAGGTGAGATTGTCAAGAATTCTTGAAAAAACCTTTATCATCATTTTTGTCTTTAATCATGTAAAGAAGTTATGTTGACACAGATTCCTATCTTCCTTGAATTTGTATTGATTGACAATATCTAATGGGATGCTTGGAAGTTTATGAGGGTGGAGACTGGATTTGGTTCCTAATCTGACATATAACATAAGTGATAAGTGTACCAGAGAAAGCTGTTTTATCTCCATCTTGGTTTGATGTGGCAGTTTGAAACTATGTTTCATGTTTTATTTGGCAATGCTGTCTCATAGTTTAATATTTAATTGGTTGTTCAATACTGCAGCTTTGATGTGGATAATGGACCAAAAGCTGCCGAGTTTATCAAGGTTTGTTGCAATAGTTTTGTGCTCTGATGTTTCATTTGTTAGTTTTTGATAGTGATGCTTAAGATGTAGTTATTCTAATCCCATTTTGTCAAATGAGGTCAAGTATGTTGGACCATAGACTTTTTCTTATGAGGAATGTGCTCGTGTTGTAGTTTATTTGTCTGGTAGATTTATCCTTGCTGATGGGACATGCTTCCTGATGTCTAATTTTGGATTCTTTGATTAAAATTTACGTAAATAATTTTTTATGACTTCTACATGCTCCACAAACTTAGGACTTTTTGTGGTTTTTCTCTGGTGTATTGAAACTCTGCTTCTATTAGACTATTTCTTTATATGTTCCAAGGCATAAACTTAGGACTTTTTCTTTTCTTCTTTTTTTTTTTTTGTATTTTCTAAATTTAAACTGTGCTTATGTGTTTTCTCTTAGGAAGCAGTACTAAAATGGCCTCAATTACGACCTTTATGTTTGATCTTGAAAGTATTTTTACAACAGAGAGACCTGAATGAGGTTTGAGTTTGTCTATCCTGAAGCATTGTTATTTTTCTTCTAAAAATATTGTTATTCCTCTGTGCTCGGTTTGAAATGTTGTTGAAACTATGCAGGTATATTCAGGCGGAATAGGTTCTTATGCTCTCCTTGCGATGCTCATGGCCATGCTGCAGGTAAGCAAATTTCTGATCGTATTTAAATTTTCAATATGAGCTGCAGGCAGATGTGTACGTGCTTCTGCTTGGCACCTATGAACGCACTCCAATAAGGAAAGACTGTTATATTATTTGCAGCCAGTCTGTTATGTTGATGGTACTTGTGCTATTAAAAATTTTAATAAAATAATAAAGATATGGAGTACGAGTAACACTTTCAGATTTTTGACAAGGCATTGGACTTTATCATTTTTCTCTTTTGCCCCTGTTTTATTTGTGTGGCCTAACCTATCTTTATACCTTTTGTGCTTCAGAGTCTGCATGAATCCCAAGCTTATCTGGAACATAACTTGGGGATGCTCTTGGTATGTCTTCTAAGAAGCCGTACTTTTATCTTTTGCTTCTCTTTTAATCCAAACCTTTAAGAAAAGAAAAACGGACATGCAATCTTATAAATGTGTTTCTTTCGGAAATTAGGTGCACTTCTTTGATTTTTATGGACGAAAACTGAACACCGTAGATGTTGGAGTGTCTTGCAAAGGGAGAGGCACTTTCTTTTTGAAGAGTAGCAGAGGGTAAAAGGAAATTTTTCCTTCATGCCAAAGTGATCACTTTTCTTCCTCAAGTACTGGTAGCTAAAATTGTATATTCTTTTTGGTTTGATTCTCCTTTAGGTTTTCAAACAAAGGGCGACCATTTCTCATCTCCATTGAGGACCCACAGGTTACCTTGAATGTTGTTTCTTGTTGTCTCCTAATTTTAGGAATGCTGGTGGCAATCACAGGCTTCCGCGCTAGCAATATTCATACTTCCTTTATTGTTGAGTCATGCTTGTGTTTTTGTCTGTTCATTTTTATTAATCTCTTCTTTATGAAACAGGCTCCAGACAATGACATCGGGAAGAACTCATTTAACTATATCCAGGTTAATGCTCTTCTCTTTCTAGTCAACTGTATTTTCAGGGAAAGAACCCTATACTCATGGCTGCCTCTTCCCCCCCTTAACCCAAACCACAATTACTATTCCATATTCATGCAATAAAAATCTATAGGATAGTTGACTGTTGACTTTTAGGTTTGGTCTCTGGTAGGACAAGTTAGATGATGGCTTTCAGGTTTGAATCAAGAATCATCACAACCTTCTATCTAAGATGTGAGGTATTTGTTTAGCTCTATCATAATATTTGTAGTGAGAATGTTATATATTATCTTGCAGATTAGATCAGCTTTTGGGATGGCTTTTTCTACCTTGACTAATCCAAAGATCATCTTGTCTCTGGGCCCCAATAGAAGCATTCTTGGTACCATAATTAGACCAGATCCACTTTTGCTTGAACGTAAAGGAGGATCTAGCGGGGGTATTACGTTTAGTAGCTTGCTTCCTGGAGCTGGGGAACCCTTACAAACAATGTCTGCAGATCAGCAGGACATTTTGTGCAATTGGCACTTAGATGATGAAGAACCACTGCCTCGAGGAGATGGAAATGCTGGACATGATAGTGCTCAATCCTCTGGAAGAAAGAGGAAATCTTCTTCCAAAGAAAGGCACAAAAAGAAGAAAGTAAAAGAAAATGGTGATGTAAGAAAGATCTGGCATGAAGAAACAGTCTCAGAGAAAAAAAGAGTGAGCGAAAGAAAAGTTCTAGACATAACCATAAACACAATAATGCCAATGGTTTTGGTCGCCATGAAGTTGGTTCTTCCAGGAGTTGCTAGAATGATCAGACCCTTGTGCCCTTATTTCATTGGTTGTCTTCCTTAATCATTCATGAATCTGTCTTGCCACTAAGCAAAGGTCTAATTGTGCCGATATAGTCATATATATCGTGTTGCAGCAAGGAACGGTGAAGCAAGATGTCAAGGTGGACTACTAGATGCTATCATACAAGATTTAGGGACTTCTGTTCTAGACAGTAGTTTTCTATAGGTCTTGGATGGGTTTAAGCTTTACTAGTCCCCTTTAAAAATTTTCCGGCTGCAGATGAGGCCTTCCTATAGTTGGCAAAAATTATGAAGACTAGGGGAAGAATCTTAAAAACATTTTTATACCGTCAAATGTAACAATAGCTTAATATAAGCAGTTAACTTTACATCTTGAAAGTTTAATGTCAAATTAGTTTCACATTTTTTCTCCATGTACCATTTGATACTCTGATATTGGAAGAAGAGAGCCTTTTGGGGATTCACCCCATCTGCTATTCTTTAAAATTTTTTGAATGGATCTTACTCTCTCCTTCCTCATAGTTCTACAAATAAGCCATGTTCGGGCAAACTGATTCTTGGAGCAGTACTAAATATTCTGCAAACCAAAACTAGAGAAACTCTTATTCATCCAGCGCGATGGCAAGCTTCAATATTTATGCTGTTTTCGGATTTTTGTTTCTTATGACAAGTTCCAATCACAGACGTAATGAGAATTTCACACCAATGTTATTGAAGGTGAAACATATTTGAATGGTCGTAAATAAATAAGAATACCGAATACATCTTTCAATCGACGTGGTTAATGTTAATTAACTCTATTCTTCGACCAAAGATTATTTTCAAATAGAAGTGATTCATTTTTTTCTTTTAGAAAAATAAAAAATTGGGAAAGTTGAAAATTAAAGTTATAGATTTTTGAAGTTTTCTAAGATCAGGGAGCAGAAGATTATATTTTTGTCGAAAAATAAATCCCACATGGAACCAGTAATTCTTTAGTTACATATTTATAAGAACCGATATTTAATCCCACCTATGCCCTGGAAGTCAGGAAGTGTTGCCTGAGATCAAGTGGGGCTTGTATGCTTAAACATGATAACTATTGTGACCCTTGACTCTAGCATGCGACTAGCTCTTAGCGGGAGAGGGCATCCCCATTCACCAAGATTGGGTAACCAGAAAACAGAAGTTAGGCTCGCGTCTTCTTATTTTTATCATTAAAATTTTAACAGTTGAGATAGGCTGAGGCTGTTCTCCATTTTGTACCTTTCCATGTTAATTTTAAAGTGGTTATAAATTTTAATCATTAATTTAACAATTTTTTCATCTTCATTCATTTCATATTTTTTACCAAATAAAACTTAAAAAACTTCTTTCATCATTATTTTTATATAAAAGATTTTGATGAGTTATTTTTTTTAATCAACACAATTATAAGAAATGGTTTCCCTATGAAATGAAAACACAAAACCTTCAGTTTGATACGATGCAATTTTATTTTAGTCACAGTTGTTTCCTTTGATAAGATTAGCACCGCAAGCCATACCTGTTGAGGTTCATATGTAAGTGGGATATTTTACATCATTAAAATGTGAGATATAATTGTGACATAAACACACAAAAGATCTAAGAATTCAATAACTTGAAATTTTTTGACTACAAGTGATATCTAATATGCACACATGGATTCTTTTGGTTAACTTTCATGATCTCAAAGTTCAATTTATCTCGTAACACCATGATCGTTTTACTTGTCATAAATACCTAAACGCATTGACATGTTATGCTTTTGTATTGTTGCAAAATTTGATAATCTAAAATATAATACGATAATATAATAAAAATAAGATATGAAAAAATGACACGAAAATATTAATTTTAGCAATAATTATATATTTATATGTTTAACAAAATAAAAAATATATTTAATGTTTTCCTATTAACACAAATTTGATATATAAATTTTATGTAAAATACGATATAAATACATAAATTTTAATATTTTACATTATATAAATACATAAATTACCTGATCTAATTTATGATAATTGATTTACCCGAAAAATGTATTTCATTTGGTCACAGAAGATAGAATAAAAAAGTTGACCTTTTAGTGGAAGAGATGACCCAGATGCACGCCTAGGTAGTAAGCGTCCCTTGAACTGGTGGTAGTAGCTAGCCACCAAATTGCATCGATTGCTACCTATCCGAGGAGGGTGGGGTTCCCTTTCACCAAGGTTAAGGGACGCACAAGATTTTACAGACTGAAAGGTATACTCCGCCCTCCTGAGCCGTCCACGTTTCGACCACATTAGTGCCCCACTTGGCTACAAGCCCACGTTACAGAGCTCCGAAATCGCTGTAATCATGTTTAATCTTAATAGTCATTGAAGATTTATATAGTTGATGTGGGATTTTATTCTTGGTTCATATTTTTCTCTTTTCTCTTTTATTTATTTATTTTTTGGCACTCGAATATTTGTCACTATTCCTCAAGGCTACAATGTCTTTCTTAGAGTTTATGCTTGAATTGAGACCTTGATAAGCATATGTTTTGTAAATCGTTTATTTTATTTAGTGCTTAATTTTACTTTGTAATCAATTCTTTGTAGCGAAACCTTTTGCTACCTTATGAATAAAAATGAACTCATTTATCTAAAAAAAAACTGTCATCTTTCAATGCTTCTATTGCATTAGGAGTTTTGGTCGATATGGTGATCAGCGGAGCAACCATTGCTCAAGATATTGATCTGGTCAAGACAAATAATTGTGAAACAAGATGACTTTATTCTTCGATATAGAATAAGTATGATTTAGTTAACAACGTTTTGTCACATGATCATTACCCTCTCTTCTCAAAATCGATTTATCAATGTGTGCAACATCAACATTTTTATATCCTAGAGAATTCTTTTCATGTCCGATGTGAGATTAGATCAGAGTACTCTACCTACCCCCTCGAGACATTTAGCGTGGGTCGAATGGTCCAAGGCCTGATCCGATACCCTTTGTCATATGACCATTATCCTCTCTTCTCAAAACTGACTTATCAGAGTGTGCAGTGCCAACATTTTTATATCCTAAGGATCCCCTTTCATGTTCAATATGTGATTGGAGTACCTTGTCTACTCCCCGTTGGAGCACTTAGTGTGATAGTTTCACCTAGTCTTTCTCTTGTAAAAATTTTATATCTATTGTTTCTTGTTAATGGAGTTTTTGGATGTTGGTCTGTATGAAAGTAGCTTGGTGATTGTGTGAAGGACAATTTGGATTTACCATAAAAAAACACAATCAAGAGGAGTTTGAATTAGTTTTTGGGGACATGCCTTGATATTTAAATCAATCAAATGTCTAAAGTTTTTGTGAGAAATAATGTATACAGTAAATACTTGGGAAGTTTAAAAAAGAAAGATTCTTAGTTTATACCATATTTGGGTCTCCTTTTTACCTTATATATGAGACGATGGACGGTGATTATGATTAAGGCAATTAATAGTTGATGGGAAGTTTATATAAAGTTTGATGAGAGGTTATGTGAGTGATTATGGATTACATTTAATGATCTAGATAATCGTAAATTATATTTAATGATTTCAAAAAAAATTAGAAAACAATTAATCTATTCTAAACTAATACATAGATGGGTCATTGGTGAAGCTAATTGGACGAGTCCTTCATTGGCAAGGGCAAGCCTGCTTTGTAGCAAAGAGTCTAGATGTCGATCCTTATTTGTGGGGACGTGATAGTTGAACTTGTGTTAACTTATCAATTATGAAAGTTGACTTTGTTGATTGAATAAATAGATACATCAACTCTATTCTTTGACCGAAGATTATTCTTAAATAAAAACATTTTTTTTTTGTTTATTTTTGTAGAAAAATGGGAAAATTGGAAATTAAAGTTATAAATTGTTGAACTTCTCTAAGATTGTCCAACAATCTTAGAATGGGTTTGGAAGTCAATAATTTTACTTATTAACAAATACGAATCCCACATTAAGTCACTAATTATTTAGTTACGCATTTATAAGAACCTATGTTTCAGTAACAACACTGTCCTCCAAGTCAATAAGCATTGCCTGTGACCAAGCGGGGCATGAATGGCTTAAACACGCTGATAACGATGACCCTTGACTCCAGCATGCTAGCTACTTGCCCTTGGGTTAGTAGGGTATACCCATTCGCCATGGATGGGTAGCCACTTCATAATGAATTCAGCTTCTTCATAATCTGGGAGTGGGTCTATCCATGGATGGGTGTGTGGTAGTTTTGCACTTTTTATTAAGAAAGGTAATTATCAATCTCCTCGAGGAGAAGAGTAACTGATATATCATCATTTTTATAGAAAAGATTTTGATGAGTTGGACTTGAAAAAATTGAAATGCAAATGTGATATATAAATATAAATAAATAAATAAATAAATATATATATATATATATATATATATGGACACACACACATGGAAGATCCTAAAAATTAACTGATCGGTGATAGGCTTTAGTGTGGATGGCAATAGGGAAGAAGCAGAATTTAGATACATTCTCTCTTGTGTTTGTGTTAAAAGCATTTAAGCGGGTTAGAGGTGGATATCCTGAAGTTGCCCAAGAAAGAAACAAGCCCCTTTTTGTTTTCTAAGATATGTGATTTGTTCTAGAAAAGCTTTACTTTCTTCCTTTCTTCAAGAAAATTTCAGGATTTCGCAGAAAATTCTTGGGCTCCCTTTTAAAACTTTTACTCGTGATGATTTATTAATCCTTCATAGGAAAAGGTTGAAATTAGCATTGATCAAAGTCGTAAGCAGGGTAATATCAAAATCATTTATAGTCTTAAAAGCTTGCTAGCCCTTATAAGGAATGCCAACTTATACATGCCATGAATACGGACAATTTAGCATGGTTAAATCCCATGATTAAACCATGGTTAATTACAAGATGTAAATATAAACCCAACATTGAATAAACAATTAGACATTGAATACATCTATATAAATGAGAAGTAGCTAATAAAATTGCCCTTCTAGTTGTAGCATTGCTTGCGATCAAGATGGGGCATGAACGATGACATAGCCAAGATGGCGAAGCAACTCTTGACCCCAGCATGTTGCCTAGTGCTGGGCTACCAGGGCACCCCCATCCTCCACAAATGGGTAGCAATATAGAATCATTTGAGACTTGGGCCGTTCCCTCACAAGCTGGGGACTGATTAAGTACTGTTGCATATACTACCACACACCCCCGAGATTAAACAAGGATTCGGATCTCTTTTAATTTCTTTTAGGTCTTTGATAACGTTGCAAACTTTAGAGTATAAATAAAAAACTTTACCTTCTAATTTGTAGAAAAAAAAAAAAAACCTTTTATCCTATGTTTATTTGTTTATGAAGATTTTTGACCCCATGGCTATGTATTAGTCTTTGATGGTAGCTTGAGAAAATTCTTTTGGTTATTGATCCCTTGCTTTTCAATCAATCAATTTCGATTTTTGAATTAAAAATTACGACAATCTTTATGCCATGATTTGCACATATAAAAAGTACAACAATTTTTCAATCCAATTCAATCCAATCAGTTTCGATTTTTAATTTACATCTACTATGGTTGGAAGTAAGCCTCTCCATGAGCAGAGGCCGAGAAACAATTTTTTTATTCCGAGTTCAACCCACCCAATTTTTAATCTATTAACAAATTTTTTTATTTAATTTTAAATTTAAAATATATTCTAAAAAATTTAAATATGATTTTTTTTAATTTCTTAAAAACATTCAAATCTCTTAAACTCAAATAACCAAGCCGTGGATGGGATTTTTGAAGGACCAATCAAGCCTAACCTGATGTGACTCAGCCC